TCTTAGGTTTTAGTGACACAGAGGGGACAGGGCATGAGACCCAGGATGGTGGTCCTCAACCTGAAAGGCAGCAGAATGGTCTCTGGGTTAAAAACAAGTCTCCTGGCTGCAGCCACAGCTCCAATTCAGAATGTCTGGAGTCGGACGAAAATCTGTCTTCGGGCCCCACCCAGGAATGATCTATATGAGGAGACGACACTAACATTGATTTTGGCGGTCTGAGAAGGGGGCGGGGCATGCACTGGCACAGTCTTCCTGAAGAAGGGGTACAAAGGCTGTGAGCTGGGGGTGGGGGTGGAGCTGGTGGCGGTCTGAGAGCTCAGAGCGTCTCGGGTGGGTCGGACAGGTGCAGGTACATCAAAGGTCAAAGGGCAAGCCCACAGAGGCCAGAGACTCATCCCTCAGAGCCTGGCATATATCAGGTCCTGAGCCTGTACCTTACCTGCTCTATCAGGCTCACAGAAAACAACATACGGGAAAACACCACCAACCCACTATCTCCTCAGGTACAACTACTGTGATTACAACATACAGGAAAACGTCACCAATCTACCCTCACCTCAGCAGCAACTACCATGATTATAACATATGGGAAAATGCCACCAACCCACCATTCCCTCAGTTACGACTACTGTGATTTCAACCCATGGGAAAACACTACCAACATACCATCCCCTCAACAATGACTACTGTGATTACAATCCACCACTGCCTCAGCAATGACTACTGTGATTTCTCTGCTTTGTTTGAATGCAAAGGATCCCAGATATCACCCTGGCACAAGACAATGCCCACGGTGGAGGACAATGGCACCGAAGCTGTGGTGCTTGAATCAGCAGTGGGAGAGGGTCACCAAGATGGACAGACTGCCTGAGGCCAGCGGAGCTGTGAGGGTGAGGGGAGTCTTCCATTGCCAGACAAATGTAGTTGCTTTAAAGAGAAGCATGGCATGATTCTCATTATTATATCACGACAAAAGATGGCACATCAATATGTACAGTGTTTGTTAAACTGAATTTATACTGTAAGAAATCTACAAGCAATTGAGGCATATAAGACTGTTAAAATGTCTTCTTAAAAATAAATTATTGGGTAAAAGAACACATGAAACGATCTCTGTCTTCATATATTATCTACAGTCGTGGCTACAAAACAAATTTTTTAAAAGAAGATATGGCTGCTTCCAAAATTTTACACAAAAGTTTAGAACTTTGGATACTCCAGGATCTATAATAGGCTCCAAACTTCAACAGCTCAGTTTCATTGTTGTATTCGAAATCTTAACACCAATAATTGTTTGCTCCCAAAGTCACTGCTCAGAATTGCTCTGTTTGACCACAACTTTCTATGCTTTCACTTCTTCCAGAAAAGGCAACTAGTGACTGTTTCTATTATGGTCTGCCAGGCTCCTCTGAGGGCAGCACTGGCCTCTGTCTGTCCTGGGCCTGACAGGCACCACGCCCACTGATGCTTTGCAGAACTTCACCCCCCACCCTTTGCCAACCAACAGTCCATCTCCTTTGCTTCTGCTTTGGGCTCTTGAACACTGGCCTAGTGTTCAATATATTTGTAGCTGACTGCATTATATATTTATGGTTCCAACAATAGCTGGGTCCTGACATGCTCAACCATTTATGAGCCTAAACTGCTACACTAAAACCCTTCTCAATCCTCTTAGGAGCTGTCTTAAACCTTACCATGGTCTTCATCAACTGCATTACTTCAACTGGTATGACTACATTTTTTTTCTTAAATCAACATTGATTTTGTAGCATTTTTAAACCTAGGAACCTAAAGCAGTTTTGCAAATTAGCGTGGTCCTCCTATACACACGGTAATGAAGGTAGGAAATAAGCAGAATATAAAAACAACAGATTGGCTGTAAATACTTTCTGCAAATCAAAGCAGCCGTGCCATATTTCAGATGGAGGCTCTTCTTCATGCAACACTACATATTCTCTGTTAAGTCATCTCAGCTTTTATGTTTAAGTTACCACTGGCTGCCCATGAAACTTATTCTTCCATAGAATTAATATTTTTCTTCTTGATGAACTAAGACCCTCTCTTCTTATACTGAATTAATAGTTCCGTGATCCTGATTTTTCCCATAAGAGACACAATCGATAGGTCCTCTCCCTGTGGTATCATCTGTCAGATTTTCTCTCCGTGCTCCCTGCCTGAGACATCACTTTCCCTTCCCCCAGCCCCTCACACTGGAACTCTCTGGAAAGATCACTGATGTCTTCCCTCGCATCTCCATTCCACCCCAAAAAATATACTACGATTGTTGCAATTTCACCTAGCACACTGCTGGCGACCAACCACCTCCTGAATGCTTTCCTCGTACAATTTTCTCTTCTCTAACTTTTCCTGGTTACTTTTCCTCTGCTGAACTCCTCAAGTACCAGCATTCTACAAGGGCCTGTGAGGTTCTTCCTTTTTCACTGTCTGTAAAAGCCCTGGAAAACCTCATCCACAGTCATGTGGGGGTGGGGGGCGTCATTCATGCTGTTCATGAAGTAGTACATGCCGTACATGTAGTAGGATCTCACCTCCTGGTTCCTTAACGTGGGTGAGCCATCTAACTCGCTATGGCGAGTACTTCCAGGAGTCCCAGCCTCTTATACGTTGACCCCTCCCTGAGTCTGCAGGACTAATACTCAAGGTGCTCAAGTGGACCACCACAGAGATGCTATCCAAGCCCAGCTCCCAGGCACTATCGTTTCTGGTTGGAGGGAACAAGGAGCTGAGTGCCTGCCACCCGGGAGCACATTCACACCAGGCTGTGAGGCTGACAAATGACAGAGCAAGGATTTAAATCCAGTTCTGAAAAATGCCAAAGATGCCATTTCCATCGTGAGATACATTCTGCTAATGTCAAGGAAAGCTAGACGCTTATTAAAAAAACAGAGAGAGAGAGAGAGAAAAGGGAGGTGGAGAAGGTCGGGCTAAGAGGAGTAAGAAGAAACAGCTGCCCCATGTGGCCACAGAGCCAAGCTGGTGCCTACAGGGCTCAGATATGCGCTAGGTCCAGGTTCTGGACACCATTTTGTTTTACAGGAAGACAACAGATAACGTTTACTGAGTGTTTACCCCATGCCAGGTTCAGGTAGGATAGCAAAGTGTGCTCTCCCTGCCCCCAAACTTATGTGGTGCCCATCCCTCCCCACACCCTATGGAGCGCCACCCCGCCCATGGGCACCCCTGACCCTACTCCCCATGGGACACTGCCCCGATCCCATGGGGCACAACCTCCCCACTCCCCACGAGGTGCTGCCCCCAGATTACAGGTGAGAAAATTAAGAAAAGAACTGGGCCACCTGCAGAAATCACAAAGCTGGCATCTACCTGCTGTCCTACAGTTGGACAGGGTCCTACACTGTGTGGGGTGAGAGGCCCAATGAGTCCGAATGAGTCAAAGCCAACAGTGATGGGGAGACTGAGTCAATGGGACCTGGCAGGAAAGGTGTTATACTGAACAATAAGGTGGGATGAAAGAGAGAGAGGTCATAAGGCTTTTAACACTTTAAACCTAGTATCTAAAATTAAATTTCCCCTCAAATATCATCATAAATGTAAACATCTATGTACTCATCTCTGCACAAATAAGAGTAAGTAAAAAGATTAAGAAAAAAACTTACATGAGCTATTGACTAGAATATTTTAGTTTGCTTACTTAAGAAAAAAAGTCCCCATACTTCCTGGAAAATACATATAAAACAGATGTGATTCTAATTGTCAACAATCAGCTTCATAATTTATGTTTAAATGATTTTAACTTTGTAGTAGAATTACTGGCTTGAGTATAAATCTGAGGAAAACTGCTGCCCCATGATCACGGCTAGAATTCACACTGACACGGGGCAGCACATGTGTTCTTTGGCTGTAGCATGTCTCTTGCACAGACATCAGAGCTCTAACACATACTGGAGACAAAGTTTCATTAGATTTGACTAGAATAACACATGCATCTCCCCCGCACGCACGTGTACTAGGAACTCTCACGACTGTCCTCCAACTAAAAGCGTGGATGCCAGCAACATGTACTGCCAGCCTGCAGCACTGCAGACAGACTCGTTCACTTACAGGGTTACCGACGTTTTCCTAATTTGTGAAGGGGTAACTATTTTTAAATGGTATTTAACAGAAAAAATGGAATACATTTTTTTCCTAAAAATATCTTTTGAATAGAATGGTTTTACTTTTACTAACTTGTAATAAAACTTCCCACAAAACATAATGTTTACTATTTACTTAATCACAAACGGATACATTTACATGAGAATTTTTTATTCTACTTAGAAGCAAAACATATTTCAAATAAAAACAGGTAAAATTGGTTACTAAGGGCGTCTCATTAACTGGATATGAGGACATATTCTGACTTGATCATATAAAATTTGTTATCCAAAATTAATTACTGAACATTCATACTCTGTTAGGATTTTACTTACACAAATACTTTGACTGTATAAATAACAATTCTAGGAACATAATCAAGTAAATCAGTCTTTAAAACTAAAATTTGGTTTTCAATATGCTTCTCCTGAAATGGAAATTATTTAAATAAAATGATCTTTACAATATATCTAACACTACCAAATTAAATGCCATAAAAACATTAATATAGATTGCTTTATTTTAAAAATGAATCATCAACATAAAAATAAAGAACACATATTTAAAATAAATAGATTGAAGATGAGAAATTAGAGAACCTAAAATTAACTGTCAATTACGGGCAAATTATATATCTAACAATTAAAATTTAAGAGACATATAAAACTCTGATTAGCCAAGACATTTTTAGAAATTCTTCAGCAGAGAATGTTGCTATATAAATACAGAGAACTCACATCCTAAATTACCAACATTTTTAAAAGTCTGCTTTTATATTACATATTAAGCTAAACTGAACAAGCTATTCAGAACTACATGTACTTTCTTACTGAAAGGAAAAAGCAAGTTCATTAAAGCAGTTGCTCCTTAATCTAGCCTACCTTATTTTTTGGATTGGATGTGTTCATTACACTTCGAGTCTCTTTTCCAGTATAAATGACAACACCTATTACAGTACCTGCAAAAACATGAAAGTGGTCCTTATAGAGATACTTTAAAGAGTGAGCATAAGATAAAACTTTCTAATTAACTGTTTTGATGGAAAATATCATTACTCTACTCGATTTTACATAAACTTATCTGACAGTGAACTCAGTTTGGCTAGTTAAAAAAACAAAAAAATCTAATCTCAACTTTTAAAACAGCCTTTGAAAAAGTCAAATGACTTCTTAAGCAATACATGTCCATGTACACACAACATTAGAAAATGCACTAATATTCTTTTCACTGACAACAGAGAAAGAGGTCCCGGCCTTTCCCTGATGTCTATTACAATAGTGTCTCTATCACTGAAGTAATTAATTAAGAGACGCGATATTCTTCACTGGCCAAATTTACCGTTTCACCTTCAAACCAACACAGCACCAGGTGAGCCAGTTTCTCTAAACTAGAGTCAAATTTCCACTATAAAGATTAAAGTACTTCTAGGTGTAAGAGGCCATGCTTATATTTCAGCATAAGTACAATTAGAACAATAAAGTACTATAAAAACCAATGTTTGTTTCTGCATTTACATGCTATTAATCTCTTTTATCCATGTTCCCTGAAAGTCTGGTTTTCTAATTTTACATGCCAGGATGATAGTATGATTTTGTAGTCTTTTAAATTTAAAGACAGAACAATAAAATGTCTGAAAAAGATCCACAGATTGCAAAGGCTCTACACTCTTCATTTCTGGAGTGCTCAATTAGAAGACTGCGGGGTCTGTTTTTAGAACTGCAGCTATGCATTATTTGTACTTTCTAATTTTCATCATTATTTTTTGTAAATTATGAAAGTGGGATACAGGATTAATGTGAAAAACAATATATCCATAATATTCATTGAAATGAACAATCACTGCAGAATTAAGTACAGGGATTATTTTAAAATCATTTAATGTCACATTAATTTAACGTGAAATTCAGTGAGCCATAAGTCAGGATCCAAGGAGCTAACTGACCTTAGCTACCACTTGCTAAGGGACCCTGCAGCTGGACTGCACACAGACTCAGCACTGGGTACAGGGACCCTGCAGCTGGATCCCACAGAGACTCAGCACTAGGTACAAGGATCCTGCAGCACTGGGTACAAGGACCCATACAGACTCAGTACTGGGTACAGGGACCCTGCCCGCTGGGCCCCATACAGACTCAGCACAGGGTACAGCGACCCTGCCCGCTGGACCCCACACAGACTCAGCACAAGGTACAGGAACCCTGCCCGCTGGACCCCACAAAGACTCAGCACTAGGTACAGGGACCCTGCCCGCTGGACCCCACACAGACTCAGCACTGGGTACAGGGGACCCTGCCCACTGGGCCCCACACAGACTCAGCACCGGGTACATGGACCCTGACCGCTGGGCCCCACACAGACTCAACACCGGGTACAGGGACCCTGCCCGCCGGGCCCCACACAGACTCAACACCGGGTTCAGGGACCCTGCCCGCTGGACCCCACACAGACTCAGCACGGGTACAGGGACCCTGCCCACTGGGCCCCAGAGAGACTCAGCACCGGCTACAGGGACCCTGCCCGCTGGACCCCATACAGACTCAGCACCGGGTACAGGGATTCTGCCCGCTGGGCCCCACACAGACTCAGCACCGGGTACAGGGATCCTGCCCGCTGGGCCCCACACAGACTCAGCACCGGGTACAGGGATCCTGCCCGCTGGGCCCCACACAGACTCAGCGCCAAGTACAGGGACCCTGTCCACTGGGCCCCACAGAGACTCAGCACCTGGTACAGGGCCCCTGCCCACTGGCCCCCATACAGACTCAGTACTCGGTACAGGGACTCTGCCCACTGGGCCCCACACAAACCTCACACCTATATCCTCCTTCCAGGAGACTGAGGAAATGCTAGGTGCTCGACCACTGCTCAGCACTGGTATCTGCAGAAGTTCCATTTGTTTTCTTTATTGTGATATGCATTTCCTTTTTATGTTTTCTTTTGTTTTTATTGTGTGTTACTGGACAAGCTGTGAGGCTTAGATTTGCCTTGTTCTTTGAAGGCAGGTAAGCTCACATTTGGTGTATGAGCTAGCCAAAACTGCACCAGTGCTACTTTTATACATTATTATATCTATCAATCTCCTAGATGACTGTACTTAGTATACAGAAAAGTGATAAATGCATAATGATAAAGTACTATAAAAAGCTTTCAGAAAGACTTAGATTACAGAATTCATTTATGTCATTGAAGCAAAACGCTAATCCTGATCAATCAATATTTTCTTCCTATTTTGCCAATTTAGTTTAACTTAATCAAAATACAAAAGTGCCACTTACGTTAAATAAGTATAATGACAGAAAAAGGCAGTTTGTAAAATTAATTTACTTTTAACATTAGCAGAACAAACCAGTCTCAGAAAAGACAGCTAGACATCACTGTCCTAAAAACCAAGGCAAATTATCATCAATGTCTATTATAGGTGATATTGTAATTTAAACTATCCAAAAATAAATTTGAGAAATGACAAGACTAACAAGAAATATTTTTTTTCAGATGCATATAAAATATAATCAGTATCATCATTTTAAATATACCATACATAATAAGCACTTAGCAGAGTTCCTCAGGCTACATTTGGATAATCCATTAAAGCTTTTGTATATATTCTCTCATCTGATTCTCCCTAAGATGAGCACGCACTGTGATGAGATTCAGTGCATATTTTTCTGTGTCTGTCATGTTTCTTAATTACCAAAATTACTGCAGTCATTACGAGAATACTTGGAACATTCTCTCTTCTCTCTGACAAAGGGTATGTATTGATTGATGAGTACAGGCTACAAGACTGAATAAACCTCATATACATGCAAAGAAAAATGTGGAAAGGAGTTAACAGTAAGTTTTGAAAATGAGACACAAGAAGGCAACAATATAACATATTCATTTTGTTTTGTGCCAAAAATAAGGAAAGACTAAATCTCACAAACAGTGTTTTAAATACTTCCATTTAATTAAATACTTAAATGGAAAAAATTCATCTTAATTTAATAGATTCACTTAATCAATATTTTAAGTATAAAATTAAGCTCCCCTCCCATTGGTTCCAACTTGGGAAGCTTCTACATCAGAAAGACATACATTTAAGAATGTTTGTATATTAAAACCACAACCATAATGTTATGGTTTGAAATGTGCTCCCTGAAAAAATATGTGTTGTAAATCCTAACCACTATACCTATAGCTATAATGCCATCTGGAAATAGGTTTTCTTTGTTACGTTAAGAGGCCATATCAGTATAGGGTGTGTTTTAAGCCAATCACCTTTGATATATAAAAAGAGCAGATTAGGTGTAGAGAAGCAAGCAGAGATGGGGGAAGAGAGATGCCACACCACATGAAGATCGCGAGGGAACCAACAAACAAGAGCTGACAGAGACAGAAAGCTTTCCCTTAGAGCCGGTGCCCTGAATTTACATTTCCAGCCTCCTAAACTGTGAGAAAATAAATTTCTGTTTGGTAAAGCCACCCACCTGTAGTATTTCTGTTATAGCAGCACTAAATAACTAACACACACAATAACAAGGAAATTCTCAATAGGCAGATGACCTTTAAGGAGTGCTGGTGGCACCGTAGTTAAAGCACTCTGCTGCTAACCAAAAAAAAGGTGGTGGTTCGAACCCACCAGCAGCTCCACAGGAGAAAGATGTAGCAGGCTGCTTCCATGAAGATTTATGGTAGTTCTACTCTGCTCTACAGGGTCACTATAAGTCAGAATCAACTTGATGGTAGTGGGTTTGGTTTGGGTTAGATAACCTTTCCAAACTCCCTACGGATAATGGTGATATAATATTCATAATTAAATCAAAATTCACACCGAGAACACATTTTAAAAGATTTATATGTGTTTATCTTTTTAGTCAGTGGTTTTATATATTTGCCTACCCTATATTACATACTTCAAATTGAATATAATTTCTTTCAAATTAATATAGAAATATTCAGATGCTTGCTGTCCAGAAAGAGCATCAATAAAGTCATATTTACTGACATTCTCTACTGATGCAATGCCAGGGGGCCTGGGACTCCCTTTGAGAAGTGGCCTCTTATTAAAGTGGTTACTCAATGGCTAAAGTCTGAAAGTCATTATATGGTCCAATCCTATTACTCCAGTGTCTCTTCAATCACAATTTCACTTTGGAATACTAATTAATTTGATAGCTATTATGTGACTTCCTTGTTATATCCTACTCAGAAAATTTCATGCAAAATCCTACCAACTTCTAACTAATACTCTAACTGTATTTTAAGCAAGTCTTCCCTAAAGCAAGATTGGGGTGGTGGGGGGCGGGGGGAGCTAACAAGAACAAATTTAGGAATGAAAGGTATTCTTCTTTACAAAAATATTTCAATTTTATGACTAAAAAATATAAATCAGCCAACTAGCAAGTCAAACTGACTACTGAATATTTTAAACGATAGGCCTATTGCATCACAGGAGCCCTGGTAGTGCAGCAGTTAAAGCGCTCTGCTGCCAATCGAAAGGTCAGCGATTTGAACCTTCCGTAAAGATTACAGCCTTGGAAATCCTATGGGACCGTTTTACTCTGTCCTACAGGGTCACTATGAGTCGGAATGGATTCAGCAGCAGTGGGTTTGGGTTATTGCACCATATTTTCAATTGCTATTTTTAGCAACTGATGCAATTAAAAAACCCACTGCCATCGAGTCGATTCCGACTCACAGCGACCCTATAGGCTAGAGTAGAACTGCCCAATAGGGTTTCCAAGGAGCAGTTGGTGGATTCGAACTGCCAACCTTTTGGTTAGCAGCTATAGCTCTTAACCACTATGCCACCAGGGCTCCCACTGATGCAATACTATGTTTAATTTGCAGATTATCAACCAATCCTCACAAATTCAAAATCATTTAAAGATCAGTCACAGGAAATTATATTTATACACAAAACGTAAAACCTAGACCACTTGTAACAAAATGACTAATTGGTTTCACCTAAACTATTAGATCAAAAAAATAACGAAATGCTACCTTAAATTCACTCAAATAAAAAAATATTTGTGTGTGTGTGTGTGAGAGAGAGAGAGAAACAGAGTCACACAGAAAGAGAGCAATCCCAACAACCAAAGCACCTTCGGACACCACTTAGGCACCAGGACCTGCGCTCCTGGTCCGAATATAATGCAGCTCCCAAGACTGTGTGCTGCTCTCTCTTGTGAGAGAGCACAGTGATGGGGCCCAGGACCCAGGTGCACCCACCTGATGTGATCAAGTAGTGGGCTCAGAGTGCACAGTAGACCAGGCCCCGCCCCACAGCTTCAGGACAAGGCATCAGAGGTACGACGCCTTGAACAAGAGCAGGGTTTCACCAGCTCCAGGCAAAGAAGCAGGCCTCTTGGGCCGGGAGACCAGGAGCTAGAGGCACAGCCCTACTCGGCGTCCTGACTACAGCCTTGCTTCTCGTCCAGCTTGCTCGTCCCGCCCCCGACCACCTTAGGCTCATGTCTGTCTGTCTGTCCCTGTCCTCAGAGCCAAGGTCGGGACCCTCCCTGACTTCTGAGTGTGCACTGCCTCTCCAGCTCCTGTCCACCACCTGTCCACCGCATGTTCTGTAAATCTACTCTAGTGTCCCTCCTCAGAGACACCGCCCCTGGGCTCTGACTGTGAAGGGTTCCCAGTCACTTATTCTCAGAGCACCCTGTGCTTTTTGTGATTCCTTACAAAATTGAAATGAATCCTCTGTACCATTTTCCTGGTGTCTCCTGCCAAACCATAAACCCTTGAGGAGTGGGCCCGAAGCCACTGTCCAGCAATGACCACAGAGCTGGCCTGGCATAGATTCTCCATACAAAGTGGCGGGGAGGTACCACTGACAGGGTGCTGAGTTTCTGTTACGGGATGATGAAAAATTCAGAAATGGACAGTGGTGAAGGCAGCACAACATGGTGAATGTGATCAATGTTGCTGAATTATACACATAAAAATGGTTGAAATGGCAAATGTTTTGTTATGTATTTGTTACCAAAAAAAAAAATAAGTTGCTGAGAGTAAGGCGGCTGGGAATGAGGCAGGCCTGGCTGTGCTGCACTCCTAGTGTCTGTCCTAGTGTCCAACACTGCCAGGCCCTACTTGTCCTCTGTCCGCCTATGGCTGAGCTCCACCCTGGGCATGAGCACTAGTGCCCACTAGCTTCTAGTAGGGTGACAGGCATTATGTCTTCAGCACCACCCAGAGACACCTGCTATCCAGGCTGTATGTCTAAGCAGCCTTCCTCCTTCAGCCCCAGGAACCCTCCAACAGCTTCCAACTTCACTCAAAACAAAATCCACAGCTTCCCCTCGGCCTGAAGCCCCTCATGACCTCTGCCCTCGGCCACCCCAGCCACACTGACCTCCCTGCTGCACTGAAAAGACCAAGCACACTCTCACACCCTGGGGGTTCAGAGTCGTGGCCCTTGGACCTGAGCACACCTCACCTGAACATCCACATGGCTTCCCCCTGACTGCCCTCCCTGCACTCCCTGCCTCTCAGGCACCCCCTGCCCTCACCATCCCTCCTCACTGCCCTGCCCTACCCTCACACACACCGCTGCCCTCACCACCCCCCTGCCCTCACCACCTCCCAGGCCACCCCTGCCCTCACCACCCCTCCTCACTGCCTTGTCCTCTGCTTTCATTATCCCTCCTTACTGCTTTGCCCCCTGCCCTAACACACCCCACCCTTACCACCTCCCAGGCCACCCCTGCCCTTATCCCACCCCTGTGCCCTCTCACCTCCTAGGACCTCACCTCTCTGCATTCACCCTCCCTGCAGCCCTTACCACCTCCTAGGGCCCCCCACCCTCACAGCCCCCACCCATGCCCTCACTTTCCCCCAGGCCCTCTCCACCCTGCCAACTCAGTTTCCCTACATCGCTCTTCCCCATGATCTAGTGGGGAAAAGAGCCTGGGACTGGTTTTATTTCTGTTTTCTGCCACCATGACATCCCTAGAAGTATCAGGAATACAGAAGGTGCTCAATAACCACTAGTGGAACAAATGAGGAAGGAGGAAGAGTCCATGTGGAGCCTTTACTGGCTCCCCAGCTTTGCTTGCTGCTGCTCCTAGAGCCGAGAACTGCTGTTAGATGGCAGTGGGGACACTGAGCACAGGCAGCAGCAGTCAGCCATAAGGGCAGTGACCGCAGCTTGGCCTCCCCCTGTGGCTGCAGCAACAAGTCCCTGGTCAGCACTGCACTTGGAGCAGCCCCGTGTGGGGCCGCTGACACCACAAGGCGTCACTGTGTGTGAGAACTCACACTGAAGTAGAAATGATCTCTTACCTGATGCTACAACAGTGCTGGCCCACAGTGTGTTTTCTATGCTGAGGCTTTCGTGAACAGGTGGGTCACTGTCTTCCTGTAAGAGGAGCGAAAAAAACAAAAGGCCAATTAGCAAGTTTGTTATTACTTGTACTTCAGGTATCTACAGTGTTAAAACATGATCACCAAGCTGGACCCAACTTAACAGCAGTCCAAAAGCACGGCAAAACGGAGGTTAAAATATTTAAGTAATTTTAATATAAGTAAGACAATTTTGAATTTTCATAAAAGCACTATATGTTCTAGTTTTTTAAGAGAGCAGTCTAAGACAGCATCTTAAAGATGTGGTTTAATACGAGCATAGACATCATTGCAAACCGACTCATCAACACCTGCTGAGTGTCCACTGCAGACTACTCACCCCCAGTTTTTCTTCAGGACAAGGCTATGTGTCAGATCAAAAAAAATACTTCTGAGATTGTTAACCATTGTCATAGGGCAACATCTGTAGTAACTGTTA